GGGGAGCGGGCGGAAGGAGAAGCGAGATGAGGAGTGAGTCAGCGGGTGCCTGGAGATGCTGCGGGGGGTTCTTGGGCAGTGCCAGCCCCGTCTCCTCACAGAGGGCCACTGTCTGCTGCCCGCTTGGCCCTGGCCCGGGGGACAGGGACAGCTGGCTCCAGGTCCTCTCCCAATGTGGGACTGCAGGGAAAATTTTAACCCTCAGCACTCTGGGGTTGCTGAAACTTGGGACTCATCCCATGCACAGCTTAACGCTAGGGAAAGGAAATCAGGGGAGAGACACCAACCCTGACACCACAAACCCTTCCCACTTCCTTGCTCCCGTTTCGGGTGCTGGACCCCAGGGACTCAGGGCACCCCTACGCTCAGTGTTTGCTGGCCTTCCCTCTCCGCTTCCTTGCCCCTCCGGGCTTCAGGTTGCTGTATCCAGGCGGTCCCCCTGCCTAGGCACTGGCCATCCTGGGGCCAGTGATGAACCCTTGTGGTCTTCAGACCCTTGTCTGGGGAATAAGCAAAACCAGGAGGTTAAGGGCTTCCACAAAGAACCCAGATTGGATCCCGCCTGCTTTAAAGAAAGCTGTCCTGCTTGTGAGACTGATTTGCAAAGAAATCTCAGCGGAGGCATGAGGACTGATGTCCCTCTGGCACAGCATCCAGTGCAGATCGACTGTTCTCAATCTCCGTGTCTGTGTGTGTTTCTCTCTCTGTCTGTGGTGGCCGTGTTTTCGGCAGACAGCAATAGGTGTGATGCAGAGTTCGCTCCAGCTTCACCTCCTCCTGATCACAGACAAGATGTCCCCAAAGCACCCCGAGCGAATGCGCAGGTATCGGGCGGCAGCGAAGCTCTTCCAGGGGAAGGTAAGTCCAAACGGAGAGAAAAGGGGGCCATTCGGGAGGAAAGAAGAACAGTGATTTCTTCCGTGGGTGGGGAGGGCGTAATCTCCTTCTCTGTGCATTAGGGGAGCAAAGGCCAAGTGGCAGGAAAAGAGGATTAGCTGGATAACTAAGTGGAGGGGTTGGATCTGTTCACCTTTTGCCAATTTGCCTCCTTGTGGGGAAAATGTCCTCTGTATCCTGCTCCTCTGCTCCCTCAGTGGGGTGTTCCTTGCTTCTGGTCCAGTTTTGTTCCCTGGTGCTGGGAGATGACAAACAGCTGCTGCGCTTCCGTCTGGCGATGGTTGCGTTCCACTGGTGCGAGAGGTGATTTTGTATATACAGCCTGCACGATGCCAAGGAGCATTATATAAGGGACCAGTCGCGCTGCTTCTTAACCCTTAGCCTTCTGGTTGGGTCCTGGGGAAACGGAGTTGCAAATGGGTTTGTTGGACTTCCCACACTAAGGTGATGGGACAGATGGGGTCTCTCAGAGAAATTTTGCCTGCTTCCCACCCCTCTGTGGACAGAACCCCCCAAATAGTAAATCATCCCACGGCTGATTCTCTGCCAGCAGCTGGATTACAGGGGAATTTGTGTCCGGGGAACAGAGGAGGGAACTGGCAAGCAAAGGAGGATTGGGAGCAACAAGAAGGCACCTGGGGCAAGGGAGAACTGCGGATGGGAAGGGGCAGAAGATCCCAGCAGTGGGGAAGGCTGAGCTGAGAGGCAGGGAAGAGACCTTCCTGGGAGGAGTGTGGAGCTGGAAAGAGTTGGGATTTGAGAACAGGAACATTTGCACGCATCTGTTTGTGGTACTGAAGGGGTAGATTAAAAATCAAGTATATCCTCATCTTCAAACGGAGGGGCCACCTCCGAACCGTGCACCCTCAGAAGTCTTGAAACTTTTTTATGGTAGGACTGCTTTGGACCTTGCCATCTGTCCCAGAGAGACCAGGCAGAAACCGTGCATCAAAGTCAAAAGGTCTCTTCGAAAGTGTTTTGCTTTGATGAATACATAGTGATAAAAGAATACTCATTTGTCTGAAAAATTCCAGCCATCTCATGTGAGGTGTGTGTTATAGTGGCAACATTATCGCTGTCCTCCACGAGCAGCCGAGTCTGATACGGGTCTCCCCCCCAGCTCACTCTTCTAACACAGCACATTACTGTTCAGCATCAATGTCTTTTGCTGATGCAGCTGCAGCTAGTTTTCTCTTCATGTGACATGCCTTAGATCTGAGAAAATGTGAACATTTTTCCTAGAAATACTCCACAAAACATTGGATAAAATGTTGTACTGAAGTCCAGATAATTTATGGATTGCCAGCAAGCCAAATCTAATATTTTTTTTATTCATGCAGGCAAGTTTCCCACTGAATCAGTCTAGAAGTTTACCAGAGTTACATACAGAGGTTAAAGACGTGGAGATTTGACTAATTATTTCCACTTTACTGCAGTGGTACTGCAGGACACGTAGAAGAAGGGACTTAGGCTCTAATAAGTTGTTTTTCCCACAGGAGTGGCACTCTGAGGAGTAAGCTGTGATTTGGACTGCCCTCTTACAAAGCAGTAAGAGCGAGCTCGGATCCCTCTGTTTGGGTCTTCGGTCTGGACAGTAAGGAGTCAGCAGAGCAATGTGCCCACTTAGGTTTGTCTCCGTTGCTCTGTCCCGTATAAAGACACGAATTACTTTGGGTATCAGAAGCAGCCACGGCACAACACCATGGAAATCTCTGCCGGCTGACTTTCCTCTCTCTTGTCAGGGTGACCAAGTTAACTCAGGTCTACTTCAAAACAAGGTATTGAGGAGATTTTGCTTTTTTGCGGCTCGCAGATTGTCTGTGAATAAACGCAAGATTCTTGCCTTGAATTTTATTCAGGATTAGCAGGGCGTAACTCACAGCCTGTGAACGGCTGCCTGTGCCGCGGGGCTGGTGCCGCCAGCGGCCGGAGGCAGGCACCAGAGCGGTGCAGCGGCGAGGTGTTGGGGCTCCCTGCCAGCACCCACCACTGCATCCAGCACCGCTCTGCGGCCACCGCAGCGCCCGAACAGAGTGGGGAGGCGCGGGGTGTGTTGCAACTTCTCTACGAGCCAGTGCAGAACACAGAAAGAGCCTCGAGGGGGTTCCCAAGCAGGAGAGGGGGTACCGATCCTTCCGCACCTCTCTGCTGCGCTCTGAGGGAGGAGGAGTCCTTGTCATTGTCGTCACCGGCTGCAGGGAGAAGAGAAACTTGCTGCTTGGATTGATGGAGAGATGAAGAGGAACTGCTGCTGCTGAGTGACTGACCCCAAGGAGTGGAGAAATTGGGTCATTTAGGTTGGAAAAGACCCTTAAGATCATTGAGCCCAAACGTTAATGGATCATGAGGAAGTGATTCACCTGCCAGTTCCTGGGTTACGGTCCCTTCACTGCTGGTTTTTGATCTTTTCATTTTTGCCTGAGACGAAGCTGAGATTTTCGGCCGGAGGACCCGTGAGGCTGCATGGGGAGGACGGTTATTTGAAACGGGCCTGAGCTGCCCCCTGAGCAGCAGTCAGCAGCTGAAGGCAGCCTAGATTCCGCTAGATTTTATCAGAACCTGGGGGCTGTAACGTGCTGGAGAGGAGAGTGCAAATGTCAGATGATGCTAAGCCAGCAAGAGCCGGCAAGAATAAGAAGAAACACGGTTCTTTTCTAGCACACCTTGAGAAACAGTTGTGGGTGGGTAACGGTGAGCAGACAGAGCTCAGAGCGCTGCAGGAGTGAATCCACCAGCCTTCTTGTGAGGATCTCCCTGCAGGCACGCATGTGCTTATTTGAGAAAGTACTGCCAAGGGCCCAGGCTTTCACCTGGAAAGGGCATGCCAGGGTTTGCATTGCTGAGCCAAACTGGCATAAGCATCTTCCGTTTTCTTTCCACGGTATCAGAGCGTAACATGACAACCGCAGCTGGTGTACCTCATGGGTGTTTGCAGAAGTTTCAATAAGGTGATGTTGGGAAAAAACAAAAGCAGCTCTTGCTGCAACTGGTACGACTGGTTTACAATGTCAAAATGATTTAGGTGGCGATGTTTGCAAAGTCCCTTTTAAGTTATATGTAGGCCCATTTAGAAGTGGGTTCTGAGAAACTTCTGGGAGTCCTTCAGGAGTTCTTCCATGGAAATGAAAGGACAGGACCTTTTATTTTTCTTGTCAGACACTGATGGCTCCAGAACTGAGATAATACTTAAACATGCCTTTTTTAGCCATAAACAGGGGAGCCCGTAAATATGGATAGTCTATGTCACTTAACAGATATCTCCAGTAAAGTTGTTTTTATGGCTTGCTTTTTTTTTTTAAATTCATGAGTGATGTTTTTGTTTTGCTTTGATGTCCTATGTAAGCTATGTAAGAAATTACTCAAACTTCAGAATTTGATCTTTTTGCTTATAGAGTCTCCTCAAAGACTGAAGGTTACAGCTCCCTGAAGTTCAGAGTGAAACACTGGATGAGGCTTGCTCATCCTTCCTGTTTGTCTTTGTTAGAGGAAAAACTAAGCAACATCAAGTTGGTTTCTACCATTGCAGTACTATTTCCAATTAACTTTAATTCCTTGAGCAATAACATCATTCCGTATCTCAGTATTTACCAGGAACTTGATGTTCTAAAAGCACTGGGCTAGGATTCAAGTTGTCAAGACACCAAGACGGCACCAGTGTACAAAATTTTCTGAAAGAGAGCTTATTGCGGGTGATGGTGCACAGATAATGTCCTGTGTGGAGGGGAGAACGTGTCAGGAGTTCCTTGTCCGTGCAGGAGATCCTTCGCTGCCTGTAGCAGCAGACCTCTGAGCACAGGCAAGAAGATTGCTACAAAAGGAAAATGGAAATAGTTTCAGAATGAAAACAACAGCTATTGTACAGGATAGTATGAAACAGAAAATGAACTTTCTGTTTGGGATGGAACTACTTGGTTTCTAGCACTGACGTGAGAGTTGGCATCGTAAGTGGGATTTGTTTTGGTGAATTATAGCTTCGGTAAGTGGTCTGAGCAACGGCTTTAGGCTCTTTTCAGCACTGGTAGAGAAGGACAGGCGTGTCCGTCCTTCTAAAACAGGTGGAATAAAATGCATGTCACCATTTGTGGTAGAGGTTACCTAGATGGCTGGCTGAGGCAAGGCTAAGGTCTAGCTGGCAGAAGTTAGGCACGCTGAATCTTGTCTCATGGTCAGTACAATTTTCTACGGTCACTGCATTCATTCTTTAAGGTTAGAACTGGCTGGGAATCTCTGAATGAAATCAAATCCTCATGAGAAAATGCCAGTCAGACCAGGTGGCATCTATTGTGAGGATGTCCCCACTGAGAAACCTGCTTGGTTTCCAGCACACCTCACGGCTGTGACTCTGGGGGCACACAGGCCGTGGCAGGACCCCCGGGCCACATCCAGCATGGGATGCATGGCCTTTCCTTTTGCTGACGGAGGATTCATCCCATGTCACAGCACCTGCCGGGCATGCGTCATTCTAAAACGCATGTGGTAGGCATTAAGGTGCCTCCTTTTGAGCGACAGCGGACAAATACAATTGTCGTCTCTCCTGTATTTTTGGAATATAAGAGGGGAAGGAAACTTTTGCTGTACTTTGGCACTCTGCCACTTGTAAGTCATTAGAGAGATCCAGGTGAGGAACTGTGGATGGTGATATCTCAGCCTTTCTAGCTGAGGGGCTGGTTGCTTGTGTGTTTTCGTTTTCTTCTGTGAAGAAGAAAGTGTTTGGAGTTCACCTTTTCATTCTTTTATACTTAATCTATTCTTTGTATTCATGGATAAAATATGTGCAGCTTTTCAGTTTTGGGATTTTTAACAAAGGTTGGAAGCTTGATAAAGTGAAGAATATTGACTAACTTTTGTTTATATTACCATTTTAAAATGCTATTCGTCTGTTTTAAAGGTGGAGGAGATTTTGTCTAGAAAGTGACAACATTTAACAACCTAGGTATTCTAAATACTTTTTCTGATTAACTTTTTGTTTAACATTTGATTAGAAAAGCGTTGTTGTCCAGCGAATCTTTCATGGAGAAAACCAAAAGCTGGCGAATGAACTGGTGAAAATGTGGTACCATTTCCTGGGCCAACCCTCTGAAAGTGCTTCCCTCCAACGCCGGCCTCTGCCTGCAGCTTGCTAGCTGGAAGGAGAGCCCTAAACCACAAGTATTGCCGCTCCAGCTGAAAGCCTCTTAGATCGGGTCCTTAGACCTGTGACCCTTCGATTTGTGACCCTTCTCTAGCTCGGTGTTTTATCCTGCAAAAGGATGACTTTAGTGCTCTGGGACTAGCTTGTTGCCCTTGGGGCACAGTTGACTTTTGGAAGAGAAATTGCAAGTGGTAAACATCACATATCCAGTGAAAGTGTTGTTCCTGTTTCTGTGTCGCAGTGATTAACTGCGGTTAAGCCTTACACCAGCCTAACTATCCCTCCTTCCCATAGGCTGTTGCTAGGAAAGTTTCCAAATGTATTTAGTCTTTTATAGAACATAAATTTAATAAAGAATTTGAGATTTAGCGAGTTTATTTTTAGAGAAGAAAAAAGTTTTGAACTAACTTGAGTGTTCTTGATTGAAAAGAAAGAAAGAAAAACATGAATCATGGCCTGGGAACTGGGTACATCATCTTCGTATTGCATTATTTTTCTTTTTTTAAACTCTTCTTTTTTCTCGTGTGAGTTAAGTCATATCCATGTCCATAGGTACATTGAATATGCTAGGCCCAGTAGACTGCACAGGATAAAGAGAAGCTAAAATGATGCATGTTAGCTGGATGTTTGTTTCATTGGCTCGGATCTCACCTGCCAAGGGATTCTATTCAATCAGATCACTGATTAAATTGTTCAATTGCTGTATTTATTTTCTTTTATAAAAATTATGCATAATGTTTGTATTTAGTATTAACAGATAATTTAACAAAGATTTTTGAGATAGCTGTATATTTTATTGACAATCTTTCAGATTCCAAAATTTTAAATGTGTACCGGTTCCTGCTGCACCTGTAAGTAGAGGAGTCGGCTTCCTTCACATGTGCAACTAAGATAAACGACATCTTGTTTCCTCATCTATTAAGAGAATAGAAGTGGCGGCTCTCTTCCTGCCATACTGCAGATATATTTTTAAAGAAGGTGAAGGAAGACACTTTGTTTGGTAGTGTGTGTCTGGGCTTGATAAAATACAGAAAAATGCACTGCATGGAGCAGTTAGATAGTGGCAGAGGGAAGTGGTGTCCTAACGGAGTATGGTAGGTTTTCTCTAACTCTTTATAAAAACATCACCGTTAATCTTCACGTGATCACTGTTCGGGGATCTGTTCTCTCTCTCGGTTTCTGTTTTGCTCACGTTTCCTCTCCTGTTTCCATCACAGATTCTCTTTATCCTGGTAGACAGCAATTTGAAGAGCAATGAACGAACAGTGTCGTTCTTCAAACTGAAGAAGTCCCAGCTGCCAGCTCTGGCCATATTCCACTCCCCAGATGAGGAGCAGGATGTGCTGACCCTGGATGAAGTCTCCGTTGAGCATGTACAGGACTTCTGTAACCGTTTCTTACAAAGAATGCAGAAGGTAAAGGGGGACTCCTGTACAGTCTACAGGAAGCTGGGATCTTGTAGGACGATGCTGTTGCTCACAAGGCTCTTGACTTGAGTTCCTTGAACTCCTCCCCACCCCTGCCACCTCCTCTTTCATTTTCACTTGCACCTGAATATCAGAAGAGCATGAGATCTAGAGCAGAGCAGAGATGGATGTCTTTGCAGAGCATCCTTCTTCACTGACCTCTCCCTTCTAGTCTACAGCAAGAAGACTTCACTGATGCTGCAGCTGTGTGAAGGTCTCAGTGAGGCAGCTCTTTTCTGGGAAGAGTAGCTGGGGAGACAGCGAAGGGTGCTTTTGGACACTGAGAATGGGGGCGGCGGATGGCAGCACGTAAGAGAGGATCAGAGAGACAGCGGCATGGGTAGGAAGGAAATCTAGCAAGAAGGGCACAGAGCAGAGTATACAGACGAGGGCTCAGGACTCCTCCAGAGGTCTCTGCTGGGAGAGGGACAATTTAATCTCCATGTTCATTCAGCGTTAAGAGTTCTCTCTCTCTGTCAAAGCTCATCTTCCGATAGCAGAGAGGCTTTGTGTGTCAGCGCCCTGTGCTGTGCAATCAAAATGGGACAGGCAGGGCAGCGGCACAGACGGCAGAGGAGGCACTTCAGTTGGTTTGTTTCCTTCTATCGCTATGCTGAGAAAGCCAGCAATGTCAAAACTGATGTCACGCCTCTCGTGTGTTTTAGAAAGAAGACAAACCTGAGGAGAAGGCCCTCAATGAGGAACTCTGATTCTTTCGCAGCCAACGGGATGACTGTGCCCAGAGTCATCTGTTTCTGGCGTATGAAGGGTTCACAGGGCCCCGCAGCTCAGGAATTCCCGGGACAGCCGGACTAAGGGGCCAAGTCAGTCACGGATTCCCATCTCCGTGCTATGTACACATAGGCTGTCTGTCCTCTCCAGGAATCTCTTCTCCTTCCTCATTTGTTGGCTCCAGCTCTCTTTCCCCAGTGCTCCAGGAGCTCTGCTATTGCCCTGCACTGTGTCCTTCTGTGCCACCTCTGTTGGGGCACAGGGTGATACAGCAAAATGGCAATGTCGGAGATAAAGCTTGTCGTTTCCCTCATTCTCTTTGCTTTTGGCGCTATGCTGGGATCCACTGTCAGCCGCTCCTGACACTAGGAACAGATTGGTTGCTTGATGTCACGTGCACTTTTCCGTTTATTTTACTAAATAAAGCAGAAAGTGAATAGCCTGAATTTTTATGCAAATACGTGATTTCCCACTCCTCATGTCTTTCACTTAAGGACAAAGCCTGTGTTATTTCTGAGTGAGTAAGCTCAAAAATCTCCTTTCTCTGAATTTAACCAGGCTTGCAATGCCTAACCAGTCGGATTGGTTGCTAAGAATCATTCCCCGTGAAATTGGACCCATCATCAACAGATATTTCCACCAGGATGAGAGATTCCTCTGAAGGTTTGGGATCAGAACAGCACTGGCTACAGCAGGACCCAACTGGTGCCGCAAAAATGAATGAGCCTAAGATGCCGACTGAAGCTGAGAGGAATGGGAGCTGTGGCAGAAGGGCAGTGGGAAGTTGCATGACAAGATGAGGGATATCGCCACACTGCGTTAGAGGGAAAGGCTGTGTGTTGGTCAGACCTCCCTCAGAGGTCCCCGTGCTGGCGTACAGGGGATGGGGACTTTGCAGGCGAGGTCTATGAGCCGTCCCTGTTCTGCTGTACTGGATGGATGCAGTAGGCTTGCTTCATACTTGGCTCAGCATCCTTTGGCATGAAGCATGGATGCTCTTGTCAAACAGTGACTGCATTGTCTCTCAGGGCTGGAGAGACTTGGCTTGGGACAGGGAGCCTAAGAGGCGTAGAGCTGAGAAACCTCAGCCCTTTCTCAGAGATTAGCCCAAGGCGAAGAAATGGGAATAGAAAGAAGTCGTTCTGGCGGATGAGGCAAACACAGCTCCCCACGCAGAGGGAGAAGTCAGGAGCTGGGAGGGATGCAAAGTGACTGCCAGCCACCGTGATGAGGGCCACGGCAGGGAGGCTCTCAGTACAATAGAGATGCAGGTGCCAGCCCTCCCTTAGCTCTTGCCTCTTCCGTGTGGATCAAGCCGATGTCTTTCATCTCCCTAAGGCTCTGTCTCCCACGCAGCTGGACTCATCTCCGTTACTGCTCTACCCTCCTAAAGCAAGCCCAAAGCTGTAACAGTTGGTATGGGGAATCAAAATGCTGCAGATTTCCAAGGAAGAGTGGTATGACCAAAACAGTGTTCTGTGTCGTGCCTTCTGTTGGCAAGGCCGGGAAACTGTCCCCCTGCACAGGGAGCTCTCCCCTAAGAGGCAGGGCGGTGAGCAGTATGGGGTCTCAGAAGCTCCACTGTCAATGCAATAGCCAAGAATGATTTCCTAAATGAGGCGGTTCAGAAAAGAGCAGGAAAAGCGGGAGGAGAAGAGAGCGATGCAAACCACCTCTGTCTGTTCAGTTCTCCCCTTGTCACAGCTGAGTGCTCCCTAACCTCTGGTTTGCACGTGGCCTGTGAGAACCTGTGGCATCGCTTCTGGACACAGCTAGAGAATAACACTGGAGATGTCAGGGGAGAGCTGAGTCTGAGGCATTACGTGCTGTGTATTTCTTTCTTTAGGCTGGTACCAGTGGAGGCACCTGCCCTCAGCCCACAAAACTGTTTTACTCGGGTGTCCTCTCTGTGCTGCAGCCTCTCCTGCTCGGTGAGCTTACCCAGGAGATGCTGTTGGTGAGCAGAGCAAAACATGGCCCTGGTCAGGCCAGGGAAGAGAAGTGTCTCCACCAGATGACCTCTTGAATGAGCGTGTGTCTAGTGGCAATATATATGCCTAAAACCTGCTGGATGCTGTTGTGGCTTCTGCGCATCAAAGAAGGGCTGCAGAAGTACAGCAAGGATGCTGAGAGCAGGAGGCTGAGCCCCAAAGAGAGAGGAAGGGTCTAAGGTGTCAGAATGTCTCACTGCTTTTGGCTGATGGCTCAGCCCCTGGCTGCGGGCAAAGGTTGCAATGCTGGACTGGAAGAGGATGAACGAGGCCTCGACTTCGGTGTTGGAGTTCCCTGTGCAAGGCGGGAGGCTTGCGTGTGCCCTGTGCGAGGGGCATGGTGGAGGGAGGATGAGCTGTCTCTGCCCCTAAGGCTGTGTGAAGGTGTGAGCGCCGGGCTCAGCCCCCCCGAAGCACTGGGAGCCCCAGGCCCTCACCCCAGCCTCTGTCACACGCCACAGCTTTGAGGATCAGAGGTGGTTCACTGCACTCTCTCCCAGAGCCCAGGCAGAGCAAACCCACACCTGCCTTCCAACAGCCCCACGTCAGTGGTGTGTGATGGTTTTGAACTCCTGGTTTTATACCAGTCCTAGAACATGTATCTCCTAGCAAGAGCCCTGCTTGCTTTCCCTTAACGGGAAAATTGCTCCTTTTTATGGCTATAGCTTGTTCCTCCCTAGGAAGGGTTGCACTGCTTTCTCTGCGGTAAGGTAAAGTGGGAAGGTGTCCTGCGGAGACATCACGAGGAGCCTTGGCGTCACAGATGTATCCAGTGTCACGCAGCCCTGTGGTAAAACCAAACAGTGTCGGGGAGCTGCCCTGCGGCGTGGGTGTCTGAGGGTCGTGTCTCAGCCCCGGGCGGACACAGCAGCTGCAGAAATTGGGCACAGCGACGTGACTCTTCCTCAGTGCTGGAGGGAAACAAAACAGGACATGAATGAAGCTCTGGTTCTGCAAACAAGCCTGGGAGCAAAAGCAATGTCCCCGGTGACTGTGTTCGCTGTGTACATAGCTAATTATAGGGACAGCTTTTCAGGAGCTTCATTATGTACACTGAGGAGTTTAATTCCCTTGCTCTGCTCCTTCCAGAGCTCTGCACCTAACCAACATCCTTGAGAGCCACAAGGCAGCCACAGGAGAAGCCTCCTCCTCCTCCCCTCCAGCCGCTCGGCAGTACTGCCGGGGACGGGGGCAGCGCGGGGCCCCTTGGGGTGCCCTGGGCACGGACGGCCGTGGAGCCGGGGCTCTGCCCTAATCCCTGTGCTCAAAGGCTTCTGTGATGCAGCTTTGGTGGGCTTAGCCGCTGCGATCAGAGGCAGAACCTTGTGGAGGGGCAATCTCCTTTGTTGTTTTATTTTGAGTTTTGTCCCCCGTTGTGTTATCTCTGACTTTGTGATGCGCTTGGCCCAGATGTTTTGAGCTGGCCAGGGAGACTGCGTTGGTTTTCAAGAGGAGGAAGCGCTGGATGCAAACTGACAGGATGAGGGGGGCTCTTTCCCCTCAGTATCGTGGCGATACCGTGGTGTGAGAGCCCCTGCTCTGCAGCAGCGCCTGAACTCAAGGGACATTCAAAATAGCTAAGAGAGCAGCTGAGCCTGCCCGACAGCAAAGCGAGGCTGCGGAGGCGTGCGAGCGCTGCCGTCTTTACCCCAGGGAACAGGGCAGTGGGTTGCACTGTGAAAGATGCAGCTTCGCATTCATCCTTGGTGAGAAAGGATTTCAACGCCTCCAGAGCAGAATATTACAAAGACCTGGAGGTTCAGCAAGGGGACTGACATTTTTGTGTTTTATCCCGCTGAACTGTTGTGTGTGGCATAAAATAAGCAAATGTTCCTTAGAGGTGCTCCCCACACACCCGTCCCAGGCAGAAACCAGCTGCCAGGTCCTAGCGGCACCATTCAGCTCTGGGGCACTTCCCTTTGATACTGGCAAGTGCCCTGGAGATGCAGAGGTTTATGTCACAGCCCTCTCCGCAGCATTTCCCGCTGGTTGGTGGGGTGTTTCCCCATGCAGTACTCAGCTTTCAGCCGCACCTCTCCCGGATCCGCACATCCCTCAGGGTCAGGGGTGTCACCGGGCAGCAAGAGACCCGAGGGGATGAGTGGATGCCCAGAGTCACTGCTCTTCTCTCCTGAGGTCCACAGGGCAAGGCTCAGCTCTCTGGTGCTTTCATTCCCTTCTTTTCCAGCAGCTGATGCAGTGCCATCTTCATGTCAATCATACTGCGTATCAGCTTGAGCAAGGCTGTTTGCGGAAAAGGGGATCCAACAGGATACATGCGGTGCATCAACTGTTGGGGTTGCCATCTCTGCTCACTCCTGTCCTTCAGCACAGAATTTGTTTTCTCTCTTTTGTGTAGCGTGGACCCAAACCAAAGTCTGAACATTGCTGAATGCAAGGGAATTCGACCTCTGAACTGGCCCCTCTCTGCTGCAGGTTGAACCAAGACCTTCAACACGGACATCTCTGCGCCTCAGCGTTGCCGGGCAAGTCCCCCGGCACATGGCGTGCTGGGCCTGGCCGTGAGTGGCTGCCGAGCTGCAGGGAGCCTGGCTGGCAGGAGAAGGACCAGAAAAACCTTTGCACCCACCCTGAAGAAGATGTCCCTGCCCATTGCCGGGGGTTGGACTAGATGACCCTTAAAGGCCCCTTCCAACCCAAAGCATTCTAGGATTCTGTGGTTCCAAGAGGATCGGGCTCTGGTTTCCACATGTGAGTCTGCCTGGCCAGCACTGCTCCTGCTCTCGGCAGTGGCTGGGAGATGCTGAGAGGCCTCTGACTGCCAGCACGGAGGGAAGAGACATCTCCCAGGGCCTGTGGCCCCGGTGCCTTATGCATGCAGAGGACAACCATCAGCCTTTCTCCTAGGGACTGTGCTAGGCACCAGGGCCCTGCCAACCTTCAATAAACATTTTAAAAATCTCTGTCACGAGGTGAACTTTCTGGTGCTCAAGTCAGATCCCGTCTCACACACAGAAGTCCAGCAC